TACATCAATAGTAGAGATGCATGTTGGATGCATGGTACATATAAGTATGCAGATGATGGAAAAGTTAAATAGTCAAGATAGTACCATCGAGGTGTTAGTGGGAGATTTAAAATTTGTGCTTGTCGGAAGCTTTCCCCACTAAACTTTTGTGTTGCTATGTTGAGTAAATAATTACTAGATATTTTTGGTGTTGGACCAAACCTAGGAATTATGATAACTTATAGTTTTGAAATGTTTTTATTGATGTTGGATTGTGTCAATATGATACAATAGATTTATCCCTATTATTCTAACAGGTATATGGAAGACCTTGAAGTCAAGGTAGACGACAGGGAGTTGGGGGAGTTAGATGGAGACATTGAGGGGGCGCCAGGGACAAATTTCATTAAATTTCGTCCAGGCATGACCTGTCCTGTGTGCAGGGAGGGAAACTACAAAAAGAAAAACCACCTCGATTCTCACTGGGCGCAGGTGCATCTGAGATTTCAGAAGCACTTTGCCTGCCCTCAGAGTGGTTGCCGAACAATTAAATCAACAAAAAGGGCCCTAAAATTCCATGCCGCAAATGTGCATATGAAGACAAGATTGATAAATGCGGAAGTTGAAAAGTTTTGTTCGGGGGCCGAGATAACAATGGAGACAAATGAGAACTTTATTGACCCTGGGACATTTGCCCTGTCCTGGCAAAAGTGGAGGCCACGAGGGGGTAGAGGTGGGACCAAGCAAGTGGCCAAACCGGTACAGAAAACCAACAGACCTATCAGCACCCGTTCCAGGGACTCCAGGTTCAGCATCTCTGGAAGCGAGCCTCCGAGGTCGCATTGCTGCTCTTGAAGAGCACAATGTGGCCCTGGAGAGTGCTCTAGCAGAGGCAAGGGCGGCTACTATGGAAGTCAGCATTAGATGGCCCAAGTTCGAGGACATACCGGACAGGAAGATAGACGAGTTTGTGAGAGACGGTTGGGAGAGTATGAGGGTGTTGCAGGCGGCAGAGGCGAAGAGATTGAGAGGAGAGAGAGAGCAGAGACGGGCAGCAGACAATGAAATCAGGAAATTGAAATGTTTTAAGTGGTGATTGTAAAATTGATTGTATGTGATATTGTTGTGATTTATGTGATTCTTTAGTATTCATTGTATAATAATTGTAAGTATAAAATCAACCGTTCTCTTATATGTGTCTCATTATCGCCCTTACAATATATCTTATTCTTATAACATCAGATTATTCATGTGTGCTAGAGTCATCATCGGGGGAAACTGATAATTTCAATCTCCAGCATGTTCAGTGTTTATGACAGATATTTTGTACTTGTTTCAGATAATTCTCCTTGTAAATGATATGTCCTGAAAGTATATTAGTATAAACTCGCGGACGAGTTAAGATTTAAAAAAGAAGGGATATTGTTATGTGCAAGAGTTCTCATATATCGCGCGTAACATTGTCCTGTTTTTGTTCATTGTTTATCTTCAGTTATAGGCACTATTCCAAGTTAATTTGTGTATAACATTTGTGTTTACGTGAGTAACAATTTAATAGACGTAGGGATTATGTTATTTGCCGTAAATTACCTTAAGTTTGTATTTCGATGACTGCACAGAGCGACATGCCAGGCTACCGGTCCGCGCCATTTTGAGATCATGACGTCATCGATATTTGTGTTCCCTCGGTTACCTTACAATTATTGCATAAAGTGACGTATTTTAATTTCCTTTACTTCAGTCAGTTTCTTAATTGATTATATTAGTCGTATGCTTTGTGTTATAAAATAATATCTAAGTTAATATTCGTTCAGTGACCAGCTGTGACGTCACTTTTTGTTTACCGTTAGAGCCGATCAGCTGGTTGTGACGTCATTTGCTGTTTTTTACAGCAGATGAGTGAGTTTGAGAGAAGGACTGAACGGAGTTGGTCGCATGAGATTGTAAGTATGTATTAACACGCTGCCACCAATTCATATTTGGCGCTGTTGGAGATAATACATTGTGTATGTATTAAGTAGAATAGTATATATATATAAATATTCATTAATATAGTTTGAGTGGTTAATTCATGTAAATAAATTACAGTTGTATTGTTGAACAAAGATATCTTGTTCTGTGGTTATTTGGAAAAGGCTAACTGTGACATCATGTATAAATAAGCGAACCCTCCAGATCCGTCACAGTACTATTCCAGTCCCGGAAGAAGACCGGTGTAGAACTAAAACTACTCACTGATTACGATATGTACTTGTTTATTGAGAAAGGATTAGGAGGGGGTATATCGATGACAGCAAAAAGGTATTCTAAGGCTAATAATAAATTAGTGGAAGGATATGATCCGAATAAAAACCTGATACACACATATTATATCTCGACGCCAACAATTTGCACGGATGGGCTATGAGTCAGCCTTTACCCATGGGTGGTTTTGAGTGGGTCGATATAAATGATATCGATGTGAATGAAATCCCCACAGATTCCGATAAAGGATGCATATTAGAAGTTGACTTGGAATAGCCAAATTCATTGCACAAAGACCATAACAGTTATCCGCTAGCTCCCGAAAGATTAATCGTTAATAAAGATTGGATGTCAGAATATCAACACTCCTTGATGGGTAATAGTAGGTTAGCTAACTTAGAAAAACTCGTACCAAATTTGATGGATAAGACAAAATATATAGTTCACTACAGAAATCTCCAGTTATATCTATCGTTAGGTATGAAACTAAAGAAAATACACAGTTCTAAAGTTTGATAAAAGCCCTTGGATTGAGCCCTATGTAAGACTGAGAGACAGAATTAAGAAAGATGGTTACCAGCAATTTCGAAAAGAACCTATATAAGCTCATGAATAACTCAGTATTTGGTAAAACTATGGAGAATCTAAGGAAGCGTGTTGATGTTAAATTAGTCAGATCTAATGAGGAAGAAAAACTCAGGAAACTTATAGCCAGTCCGGCTTTTAACAGAAGCAGGATTTTGGATAACGACTTAGCGGCGCTGCATATGAAGAAGAGTAATATAAAATTCAACAGACCGGTGTAAGTTGGTATGAGTATTCTTGACTTGTCAAAACACTTAATGTATGACTTTTATAACAACAAACTTAAGAAGCAATACGGCGATAGGTGCGAGGTGTTATGTACTGATACAGATTCTTTGTTGATAGAAATATGAACCGAGGATGTTTATAAAGATATGGCAGGAAAAATAGATATGTACGACACGAGCGATTACCAAAAAGATTAATCCACTGCACAGCATAGTAAATAAAAAGGTGTCAGGCAAGATGAAGGATGAATGTGCTGGGACCCCTATAGTGGAGTATGTCGGATTAAGACCTAAGATGTATTCTATAAAGAAGTCTGATAATGGAGAGATAAGAAAAGCTAAAGGGGTTAAGAACTATGTAGTTTAAAAGCATATCAAACACAAACAGTATAAAGAAGCAATATTCAGTGGTAGAACTTTCAAACACGAGATGAACTCTTTAAGAAGTGTCAATCACAGGATATATGGATTAAGAATGAACAAGACATCATTATCCCCCAGAGATACAAAGAGATGGATTGATAAGGATGGTGTAACTACCTACGCTTATGGTTATGGTGGTAGTACTGTATTGTTGGGAACTATGAGCAACTCTTCTCGCACAAATGCCCTGCCCGGTCCATCTTTAAGATAATATAGAATAGGCTCTCCTTCTTTCGTAACCAACCGACTAATGTTATATATCTTAAGGGACCAAGTCGGATCGGTAGCGCGACGTAGGCCTCCTTCGAGTTCACCGGGCTGGTATAAATATCTTACGCTTACTCTATCCGGAAGTTTTTATTCTTTGCTTCTCCTCGGTGCTGAAGATTCGGAAGTCAAAGATTTCATTTTAATCGCATCGGATGGTTTCTTCCCAATTAATTTCGTTACTTCATTATTCAGCGCTGACACAACAGCTGATAAACGTGTCACCCATTCGGTTGATCTTAATCGTTCTGATTTCATTTTGATCCCATACTGATATCCAAACAAACGTTCCGCTAATGTCCAGTTAAATCTTTCAACGATAGCTTGACTACGGTGGGCCTCTTTTTCACCACGCCTGAGTTGAGTTGATTGGTTCAACTGTGTAATATGGCCCTGTGACGCAGGGGTAGCATTATGCAGATGGCTGTTACAATGAATGCTCGTTCCACCCGTGACGAACAGGTCTGGTTGTTGATGAAATATAGTGATAGCTAAATAGACAGATTTTTTATTCATGCACCGATTGTCTTTAAATGTAATATCCAGTTATGTATGACTGTTTAATAATCTCATACCAACTTTGACTGGAGTAGGTCCAATAGTTTGTCAGATATTGTAGTAAACGTCGGTACCTTAAATTAACTTACAGATTATAGGATTTGAGGAGGTCATTTTACGTCGTTGGCCATCAAGATATACACATGAATATTTATTTAAAGGTGAGGATCCTCCATTTGGTATCCCTTGAGATGAGGGAATCACAGTTAAGCATGTCCTGTTTGACTATTGATTTTTTTCGTAACAAGGGATAAATATACTCAATTTTATGGTGCTCTATTAACTTCTATGAAATTGAGCTCAACTTTGGATGTGTATCCTTATGGTTACCTAATATTTTTGTCAAATCATTGGATTTTAGTGTTCAGTAGTTATGTAGAGTTGTGTTTATATTAATGCTGACAGCAACTTCTGTTAAGTGGCTATCATTGTTGACACGTTGGCTTCTTAACCTGGTGAGCTACAATGCTTTGGCACTATTTGTTCATGTAAAGCAAACACCTTTTTAGTTTAATACTATTTTGGGGAGCACCTCTACAAAAAAAATATTTCATTGTAAATTCTTTGCATTTAACTGATACTGAATATTTTTTCTTTTAATAAAGAACATATCATTTAATATTGATTGTAACATTATTAAAAGTAAATTTGAGTAGTATTATTACAATCTAATGTGTCATGCATATTTCCTGCTGAATATTCCTTTAATCCCTGCAGCCACCTCTGAACCTCAGGAGCCAAGAGAAGTCCGAGTTGTGAACCAGGAAGTCAGGCATGGTAAAGTTGCTGCTCTGGTTAGATGGAAGCCAGGCAAAAGTAAGTAATGATGGTAGTTGGAATTTAATATTACCACCTAATTCTTATTGTAGAGAGTGGACAAGACTCTGGGATAGAGACTGTATTTGTACAGAACAATGAGAAGTCTGATGAAGACTAGACCTGTACAACAGAGAGTGAACAACAAGTATTGTATGCAAAATTATGGATTCGTTTACATGAATTGACAAGATCTAATTATTATACCCCTGATCTAAACGGGCGGTGGTATATTGTTATATCAAGGAATTCCTTTATTGTGTGTGACTGATAAAAAAATTGAAAAATAGATGCTTTTCAAAGTTGCTGAACACTTTTCCTATCTATAGGAGAGGTGCAGTGCAAAGTTTCTGAAAAAATACACATTTTTTTACTTAGAATATTTTTACTGGGACATTTACATTTGTGCGACGGATAACTTAAAAACTACTTCATGGATTCTATTCCAATTGGGGGTACAATTTCTATATCAATAGGAGAGGTGCAGTGCAAAGTTTGATTCTTAAATATTGCTTTGAAGTCAGGGGTATCAAAGGGTAGCTACTCTAACCCTGGTCTATGAAACGTCACGTTTGTTTATAGTCTGCTTGGCCTGTCATAATGTAGCAAAGTGCAGTCAGAAGTACGCACAGCGAGTTTCTCAATATTCCCTATGGTTAATTTTGACTCGCTGCTAATTTTGTTTGTAAACACTGAAAGTAGTACCAACTTGACCTCTGATATTTGCATCTCTGTCTGCATGTGACTCCAATATCAATATCAGTTTTGTCTGTTGGCTTTATCCTGCCAAGAAACCTACCCATTATGTGATAAATGATTATATATGCTAGAAAATATCTATGAACACATATGGTCTACCAAGAATGCCAATAAGTAGTATAGGTAATGGTGATTCTGCCGCAACCCCACTGGAGCCAGATTTATATACACTACATTTCAAAAGTAACTTCCCCTGTATCGCGAAACTATTTCGCTATACGTTCGCGATAGTGCCGTGAAAGTATGGCGAAAGTGACTCAAAAGTGGCGCGATAATACCACGAAAGTGGTGAGAAAATTGCCGCGAAAGTTGCGCACTAATGCCGCGAAGTTTCGCATAGGTGGCGCAAAAGTGCCGTGATAGTGCCTTGATAGTGCCGTGAAAGTGGCGCAATAGTGCGGTGAAAGTGGCGCGATAGTGCCGCAATAGTGCCGTGAAATAGGCGCGATAGTGTTGCAAAAGTCGGTAATGGTGCCGAGAGTGGCGCCATTTTGGTATAGTGCATGTACACTTCAGAAATGCTGTCGTGCGTTACTTCCCCATGTACGAGTATGTCGGATGTATGTTCAATCTAACCTGGAGCTATACTCGTATAAGCCTGTTGCTCGTGTTATATTTAAAGAGGTGTAGGTGGTAGGTCCATTAACAGTATAAAGCTTTACATGGATATGTTCCTAAAACTGTATTTTTTCCGCAAGGATGCATGACCTATTCTATATTAATCAATAAGAAATTCATTGACAAATGTTTATATTCCCTGATGTGTGTAACTCATTTGTATAAGTTATCAATAGTCTTCGGAATTGGGAGTAGTGTATGAGAACGCAATTCCCAGTGGTGCTTGAATACACTTTTTTTCTAGATTCATCCCGATTTTGGTCCTCAGCTCATCTGATTCATACACAATAAGGACTTGCGTTCATCCGTAAATGCCTGAAATTCTGAGTGTTAACAGCAGCCATCACAGTCCCTGTTTAGAATTTAGCATTCAGGATTAAATATATGAAAATACATTTCGGTTTGATGTGCTTATGAAAACGGAATAACTTTCCTCAAAACGAAGTAGAAACCAGGTGATACACGGATGATACATACATGTAAGGAAGAGAATTTATGGATGGTAACTTTATTATGAGGAACACAACGTTTTGAAGTAATATTTACTCTTTCATCAGGTGAAGGAGTAAGTATACACTCCAAAACATTGTGTTCCCCAAATTAAAGATGTCTTCCTTATGTGTTGAACTTGTAAATGATTTTCAAAGACACGATACATAGACGGTTTTAAAATGATAGGTCAAATACTGTGTTGTTTATCTGTTCCACATAGTAGTAAGTTGTAAGATGAGTTTCTGCTCGTTAATCAGACAAACTACTGCTACACTTGGTTTGTGCAAAAGTTGATGCACGTATACACATGTCGAGTGTCACAGATACGCGGGGTCTGCTTACTTACTTACTTAAATTGGGACTTAAACGTGCGCTTTCCCACACATGCGTATTTCGCGCACGGGCCCGCCAGGCCATTTAGTGTTTGGTCGAAAAGGGTATGTCCGAGAAGGTGGGGCAACCTAGGGGGGCTTTTAGGGTTGTTTCCTTAATTTGGATAACAAATTTGGAATTTTGAAATATGCCATGCAAAAGGTGGAGGGGGGACTAAATGTAGTTTTAGTAGTTGTAGTTCTAAGTGTGTTTTTGTAGGTTTAGAATTTTAAGGTTTATTGGCAGCTTGTTTGTTGTACTTTGTTAGATGCGACCGAGTAGGCCTGTTTTGATTAGATATATGCCTAGTGCTTTAAAGGTTTGGAAGTCATTTAGGGGATTTAGTACCGTTGCTAGTGTCATTTGATTGTTGCAGTTTAGTGTGGATTGGAGTGTTGTTCTATGTTGCTGGTACTGTGTCCAATATAGTAATACGTGTTCAGGAGTTTTCTTTTAAGTTGCAGTGGTGGCATTTCCCGGATTGGTGTTTTTTTAATTTGGTGTAGGTGGGAGTTTAACTTAGTGTGGGCTGTTTGTAGTTTAGTTATTTCTGATAGATATTTTGTTACTTTTGTGTTACTTTTAATTTAATTTTTGTACATTGGTAGGTTGATGCTTACTTCTTCCAATTTTAGTGCTGATTTGGCTGCTTTGTCTGCGTGTTCGTTGCCAAACACTCCAACGTGGGCAGAGATCCGTACTATTTCTATGTCTTTACCTAGTATACGTAGATTGTTGGCGCTTTTAATTATTTGTTGCATTAGTTTTGGGCGCTTTTTTGTGTTTAAGTATTTTTATAGCCTGGAGCCCACTTAATGAATCTGAAAGGATTAGGGTTTTTGGTGGCGGGGTCTGCAGATACAGTTGTGATTTGATGAATTCTTTATTCTCTAGACATTCGAGAGCGAACCAGACTGCAGCATTATTCACAATGAATATACTCAGAATATCTACTCCAATAAAAAAAGCACCCCACAGTTTATTATGTAACTTATAGCGAGACAACTCGGATAGTTAATTACATTGTCTTCTCACAATGCTAAGCAGGTGCACGAAATAACAGGAAGAGTCATGCGTTATATAACATCATAAACGTGGAGGATGAAATCCACCTTCCAGATTCTTCGTCAGCAACATCTCACATGTCCTGTGGTATCGTGTTTACTTAGAATATAGAACAATGACTTCAAACACATTACACTATGCAGTCATTTTGTTGTCTTGTTCTTAACATTCCTTCACTGAAATAGGATTGCTACGCAGTATTTAATTAACATGTTACGTTGGATTCGAGACCAGAGAACATGTTATGTATCATGTCGTTGTGTTTAGTTATATGTGTGCGCCTGCACTAATGAAGTAAGTGAATGTTAAGAAGACGAGATAACATGTACCTGTATCATCCATCACACAAAACAATGTAGGTATGGTTCGACACTGTTTTATAAAGTTTTGTAAAACAGATAGGACAAAACAAGCCAGTGCTGGCTTCTGTTGCTGCCTCTCCGAAGATCTGAATAAAAAGGTTATCATACTCATTGCCACATATTACGTTCTAACATAGGAACATTTACAACGCGAGATTGTTGGCTCATTTTTTATGCACCACACCATATATTTAATGAGAGAAGGACATTTCCCCCACACTGACAGTCCCCTACTCGGACATTATTCCGTACTGACATTTCCTCACATTGAATATATCAAAAATTTATATTACAGTTTCATTTACAGTTTGACAAACTATTATATATACTATAATATAAACATGAAAAGTCATCATCACATGTCAAATTCACTACATGTCACCAGCTGGAAGTGACATGGGAAATAGATTTTACTCTTTGTTCAGTTGTCCTTCATTTAAGGACACATTTGACAAATAAATGCACGAACTGGTTGAGTGACCTCCTTTCATCAGGTTGAAAGGATTACCCACAGAGAAAGAAAGGATTAGAAATCGACATGCTATTACGTTTTCACTACCAACGTCCTCTAATATTAAACTGATACCCTTGGTATCCCCTAATGAGATCATGTATACCTTGTCACACCCGGTAATTGTTAAGATCACAAATCCTATCTACAGCGAGGCAGTCTATACATGTTTCAAATATCCTGTTATAATTAGTGGTGAATGCTAGAAAACACATCATGAAAGATATCCTGAGACGCCTCCAAATGTCCACTTCATAATTCTTACAAAAGTGATATTCTACAGTAATAACATTTGAAGGCTAATCCACAAATACCATGGCATCAATTGTTACGGAGTGGTGACCAGCATTCGTATATGCAAAAATTGCAAAAATCAAACTGCCGAGGATAGAATGCACTTTAAAGCGAGCTGCAATCTTCTTTTGGATATTAGATATTCGTTAAGGAGGTATTCATAATAATAAAAATTATTATCGAAATATAATCAACTAAATTATCATTTTTAAAGTCTTAAATATTCTAGATTATGTCCCTAACTTACGTTTAGCATCCGACAGTTATAGTTATAATTCACCCAATATGCTGCTGATAAGACAATAATATTTGAATGCGTCCCGGATTTAATCGGAGCATATGTCAACGTTGTATAGAGGTCTGACGTAAATTGACTATCGCCTGTCTGTAAAGTGTGACCCTCATGACCCTTATTTATTGTCACTGTCTTACTTAAACCATTCGAGTGACTCCAGTTTTCATTTCGTGTGACGGTGAGGCATTAAAACATTCTTACAGCCCTCACGTACTTTGATTCATCTCAATAA